AATTTAAGAATTAACGATATAAACTACTATTATATAGAATCCGAAGAATATTTATTCTAATCTTCTCTAATGTAATAATCTTTGAATTACTTCTTGTGGTCCGACTCAAGAATTATATAATTCTAAATTATTTTATGAATCGGCAAAAATTATTCTTACCGTTCTTAATTATTATTAATACTATTAATACTATTAAAACATAATTATCTCTTCGCTACCGCCAGATATTCTTTATATCACAAAATTATAATTCATATCCAATACGGGAAATTAGTCCGTATATTACTACTTTCGGGGGAGCCATACGACACCCTAACCCACGTAATAATAAGGCCCGACCTTCCCAAGTCACGTAATGAAAAGAAACAAGGCTAAGAAACCCGAGACGAGTCCCGAGAGCTCAACCTTTGCGAATATCTTAAGCGAACGTCATCTCGTTTTAAGCCCATCTATCGCAAAGCTTCTTAAAATCATCCAAGACAAGGGTCCAAGCCTCTCATTAAATTCGAGTCGATTTTTCAGAAAAAAATTCGAATATGTATCCCTTCTTTCTTTCATTCAGAAAAAATTTCCTCATAATATCTACCTCAATTTCATCTTCTTCGAAAAAAAGAATCCCGAGAACGCGGCGCCTCTCTTACAAATAATTAAATTTCCATATAAAAGAATCGTAAACCCATATCGACAAGTCTTCCAATAACTACGCTCCAAAGTCCAATACATTTCAAGAAGTTCATTCGTTAGAGAAAATATTCGAGCCGATCCCATTTTATAGAAATATTTTTTTAGAAGATCATATAATCTATATTCTGATTTTTTCCACAAATCTTACCAAAATTCAATAAAGCTTTTAAGATCCAAAATCAAATAATGTATATGTATATATATTTCCTTATTCGTCCATAGGCAATATGACATAATTCGAATTGATTGTTCTTATTTGTAGATTCGGATAGTTGTCTTTTCTTCAGCAAGATCTTGTCGATTTTATCAATAGGTTGTCTTTTATATTGGCACAATATTGAGCCAATCGTGACCCAATGTTGATAGCAAGTAGTGTGAAACAGCCGATTGTAGGCCTGGTGCGTTCCTGGGGCGGTTTTAAGGTATCTTGGGGCTGCTGATCCTTATCCAACAATAGTCGATGCCGCTCGCCCAATACAATGCAGGCGGCAATGCTCAGGTTGCATGAATGCATCCTGTGCCAGGATGCAGCTTCAACTTCTAGCTCGCAATGATCAGAACTATCAAATTCACTTCGGGAAGAGCTGGGGATGAAGCCTCCGACATCACAGAGCTGGAATAATTCCGCCAGAGGTGGACCAGATTCTCCGCCAAATATGTGAGCGATGGGAGATCTCAGGTCCCTTAATGCAGAGGTCTTGTCATAGATGGAAGAATACCCAAAAGCCCGGCGACCGGCCTCGGATATCTCCTGCAAGGGTTCTTTTTGAGCTACCACTCTGCAGCCATTCTTCAGTTATGCTGACATCTGTTCTCTGCTTGCGGCAAGATGCACTACTCACTTCGCATCAGTTGACATCTCCTGAAAAGCTTCAACGTTTTCCAAGATCATCAGCACGAAGCCTTTGGACTTCAGAATCGCCAGCAACTGAAACACTGCATCACGTCCTCCGTCCAACAGGCAAAACTTTCCATCAAATTCCTGCAGCAGACAGGGACAGCTCCACGTGCAAACACTCTGAGCTGAAGACCATCACACCCAAAAGCAGAAGGACAAGCAACTCCCTTCATAGATCTGACACCTCTCTTCGGTTTCGAAACATGACAACGGCTTCGTAAACAACACCTGGCACTTCCTGTGTCGGCTTCTGAGGTTAGGGGTGCAGTCAGTCATACCGCATGCGTCCGCAAAGCAGTCCCTTATGCACTTCGTCGCAGAGTCTGTCTCAAGCTCCCAAGATCACGCAGAAACCGTGAATCGATCTTGTTTTGGGCATAGAGCAAATTTAAATGCCAGGGATGGACAAACCAGCTGAAAATGGATATCAGAGTCCACAACAAATTACAACAAATCGTACCTCATTCTGGTCCAGAGCCCGGCCCCAAAACGGAAGTGCACGGCCCCGAATCCCCAATCACGGCCAGAGCCCAACAGGTTCTCTATGTCGTGAGGAATGATTCATGCCTGCGAGCCTCCAGCCTTGGATCTCCGTCTTTGAGCACCCCAGTTTTCGGATTCCCTGTAACTTCTCAATGCCTGTCCACCTCAAGGCTTGGACGTCCAGTTTTGAGAACCGCCGTTCTCGGATGCTCCAAAATATTCCACTCCAGCTGGCGATTTCTATGCGCATGTTGGTGCCGAAAACTATGTCATGATCGTGCGGCAACAACCGCTGCAAGCCACCACCCCTTACGCCTCCTGGGTTGAAGCGAAACTTGCCAGGCATATTGGAAAAGGTACATTTCTGCAGCTACGGCACACGATAATGCTGCAGCATTGACACCCGCATCACCTCCTTGATGAAGCTGCGAGGATATGGTGGATATGGAGACGATGGTTGGTGCGCGCTGTTTGCCAAAAACAAGATCTGAGCACCGCCCAGTATGGGCATGTGCCGCAAGATTGAACCTCGGGGATTTTGGGCATTTCGGGATTTATTTGCAATTTAAAGGCACCACGTCACGAACGCAAACTTGCTGCACATGCACAGCCAATAGCTGCATGATCATGCATGTCTTCTTCCCGTCCGCCCTGCACTCCAACGCACTACACGAACAACTTTTCACCTCTTTCCATGGCCATTGTCCTGTGACGGGCTCGCACCTACCACGCTGAACCCATGGCTGTCGCCAGACAGACCCACATCATACGTGTCGTCGTCGGCAGATAAAGTCACGTCCGCTTGCCATACCCGCTTGCTGCTTCACATGGCTTCATATATAAACTCAGCCAGCCTGACCGCGACTTGTGCTCCTGGTACAGCTTTCACATGCTGGGACGATTTGCCTTGGCCTGCAGCTCATTGCGGTCGGCAGGTGGTGGTGTTGCGATTTGGACACGGTCTTACTTCCTCTTCTTTCGAGTTGGATCCCACAACTGATCATCGCAGCCGATTCAAAGATCGAATCGCAATCAATCGACTGTCGAGCCTGAGTTCGAGCTGATATCAGCAACCATGTACAAAATGCAACTCGTTGTGAAAGCCATCCTCGAGTGGCAGCATGGGATGCGTGCCCCGATCGAGTGCTAAAACCAGCCCAATTTCATAGGCAGATTCATGAGCGATCACCAGTGCAGGACAGCGAACAGTATAGGACAAACGAAGCGAGCCGATCTCCTAGCACAACGCCGCAGCGTGACTCGTCTTGGCATGACCCAGATCGGACACAACACTCAAGTCTGCAAAGCATATGTCGAAACTTCCCCCCAAAAGGAGGCTTCGGAAGCCAGTTGTTGCTGCGGTCATTCATACATAGTCAGTCTGGTTTCCGGTTCCCATGTCCAAGCCCCGTTCTAAACTCACAGACGAGCAAAGTTCCGACCATGCCGCTCGCAAACACCCTCATGTGCAATCTCTTATTGCCGACCCCGCACACGGCAAAGCGTCCAAACTGTTAAGGCTGGTCTGCCCAACTTCAAAACTTGCCACCAGCTCAAGACGTACAAACTGTATAAGGTATAAGCTGAAGCGAACTGAGGTTTTTACCAACGTTGCCAGCGTACTTTGCGCGGTCGATCACCACCACATCAGCTAATGAGATCACCTGCTCGCCGCTCTTCACAGCTTCCCAGGAAAGGCGCACGCTCTCATAGCTCCGCTGCCGAGCTACAGATGTCATCGGTGATACTCAGATGTAACCACAGGCCGGTGAACACAGTGAGCTGACGACAAACGTGTAAAACTGCAGCCTACTTATCCCGCTTGCGTAGTCTAGTTGAGCTCGTCTGCGCTGCTGGACTTCCATAACTGGACTTTGAGCGACACGTCTGTGAAGCCCATGTCGGCTGCGCGAGCACTGTGTTGAAACAGCTCAACTGACTCTCCACAGAAACAGCACACGACAATGCCAGTTGAAGGTTGGAACTTTACTTTCTGTCTAGTGCGGTCTAGTGCGGTTCAATCAGGAAGTCAAGACTTTACAGGTCCTTCCCAGTCCAGCATACACGTGAATTGGCCGATCAGCGTCCCAGAGTTTCACTTTCCTCCACTTCACCCTCCTCCACCGTCAGCAAGTCCTGATTAATGGCGCTGGCGACTTCTTGGAAGATCAGCTCATGGTCCCAGGTACTATCCTGTTCGAACACCTGGCGATCTGAGCACAGGCACTGCATCAACGGGGCAAGGTCGACGCCCTCTTCAGGGGTTGTCGGCAGCTGCGTGCCGCGGCTGATCAGTGCACCATCCAGCTCACGGACCGTCCTGACAGGAGCGGCCAACGAGGGAGCCGCAATCGGAGGTGCTGCAACTTGTCGCGTGATGTCTTCTTCTGCTTCCTCCTCAAGATCTGGAATTGTTGGAACTGCATCGTCGTCCTCCTCGAAATGGCCCTTATGGCCACGCTGAGGTGATGGAGGCTCTGCGCTCATCCGTGGGCCTCCTGTGTCGTCATCGAAACCCCAACCTCCCGTGACAGGACCACGTGGGCGAGGGGCCCGACCGCCACTGCCTCCCACATCACCCTCTTGGGTCACCTCTGGCTCATCATCCATCTGGCCGGATCTGGGCGGTTCGGGCGGGCTGCTTGTCCGCTTCTTGATGGTACTCTACACACTTCAAGCCGATGGCTGCGTCCACTCCCACACATTTTGATGTGATGTGGTACCCTCATGTATTCCACATCCGTATCTACAAACAAACTTGAATGCGTGCGAATGTTTGCAAATGCAATTGGCTCATGGCAGACGGACGTCCCTGTGACTAGCATGCCACTTGGTGGACAGCTAATCGAGCAGGGCCCTAGAGCGGGCAAGCGCGAAACTCAGAGCCCATAGAATCTCAACCTCGTGAGACTTGCGGGGTGGAAGGAGGCCACGGTCAAAGCGTTGCTTCGCGATCAGGCGCATGCCTTGGTCTGGCGTTCAGCATCGCTTGGCGCCTTGCATTCCACGCATCACTGTCAGTGCTGGAACGCACATTGTGGGGAATAGTTCCTTCTTCTGCTACCTCTACACCTGCCATCACCAAGCTGTTCTCTCTGGCCAGCTCTGCCACGCTTGTGGTGTCTTCAACATGGGCAGAAGGTTCAAGCATTGCACCCATGCTGGCCCTCGACTCAGTCGTCCCACGGATCGCAACAAGTTCCTTCTCATCAACTTCAACATTGATTTGCATGTGCTTCCCCAAGTCCCCTAACTCGTCAATGTACTTTGCACTTTTTCGGAAGGTATCTAGATCCTGTCGTGGCGAAGCTCTCTTTCCCATGCAGTAGCTCTGGTATCCGAGGAGGTTTTCTGAAAAGCCCATGTGGCGGCCAACAGAGACCGCAAAGTCCTTGTGAAAGCCAAGCACGAAAATAATGTCATCAACTTCGAAATCTCCGAGTTGGGACAAGCTTCGAGGCTCTTTTCGCCCAAATGCCGGGAGAGTCAGTGGTGGCAAATCGACCCCTCCTAACGTCCCCAAACTCAGGCTGACCGCTCCACTCCAAACAAGCGAACCTCCACGCCACTGCTCGACAAAACATGGGTGCAGGGCGAACTCATAGGAAGGAAAAGCCGCTGCATCAAAGTAAAAGCATTTGCCATGAGAAATTGCACCACGACTGAGAGACTCCTGATGTTTCACGGAGAGAACCCGAAACCCTTCTGGGGTGGCTTCGGGTGCAACGAGGGCCACGCACCCTTCTTCAGGCATGGGAGGTGGCCTAATAATTAAATTCGTGTCAGAAGCTGCATATGAAGAAAACGGCGCCCATTGAGAGACAAGTCCCTCGCTCGACATCTGCAGCCAGTGCGGGACTTCACTTGTTGCAACCTGCAGATTGACAAGATCTGACGGCTGCTCAGCGGTTTCCTCGTCTGTGCCCGTGCCGGCAGCTGCAGGGAACGGCGTGCTTGCGTCGTGCTCTTCTGCGTCCTCCTCATCCATTCACATGCTTGGCATGTACACCGGACGGTGGCTCTGACGTGTCTTCTCTTCTGTAAGCTCTGCTGCAAGCGTACTGGACTCGTGTTTCTGCTTCTGGCCAGGAGCTCCAGCTTCGAGTGTATCTTCAGAGAGCAAGCTGGAGAATGCCCGCGCGTGGCTTTCTTCTCCTGGAAGAGACATGCCTCTGTCCTGGTCCCTTATGTTTGGCTCCTCTCCCAGCACTGGCCGACTGAAATCGTCTTGAGAGCGGACAGGGGAGGATGTGGGTGACGCAACTGCATCACCAGGCACATCCGGCGTTTGCACCGGGATGATCTCCTGTTCGAAGAAGTCCCGGAGCTTTGGCAACGCAAAGCTCGACGAAAAGTTTTGCCATTGCTCAAGCATATCCCCCAAATCCGAATAAACCAAAGCAGGCTGCAGGCATGTGATTCCTTGGCCGGCTCTGCGAAAGCGGCGATTTTCACACCTAAGCAGTCGCCACTCACGACTCGGAGCGCCAACTGCTCAGATCTGCTCAGAGTTTGCTCCTTTTTCCACCTGCAATCTTTGTGCATTCTAGGTACTGTCCTTGTGAATTCCGCGGTGAAGCGTGGTCTACATCGCACCATATCCCAGAAGGTCTGGCCACTTCAATCCATTCTGCTTCTTCTCGAGGTCGATGACCAGCAACTCAGAAGAGCAACTCGATCACAGCAAAATCTTTATCGCCGTCGCACTGGATTTCACAAGAACTTAGAGCCCAGCTCTCTTGGCACCAGAGCCTTCAAGATGATGATCGCAGCCGGCTGGATCCACGGCTTGGAAAAAAGATCCGTCAATAACACAAGGCTGCATCTCGTGCCCCTTGATCTCAACCCGGATCGTTTTAGCACTAAGCTTCACAGAGACATCCTTGCTTGCGGAAGAAGCGGCAGGATTCGGATCTCGAGCTTTCCAGGGGCACAGAAAATCGACAACTTTACAAAACCGAAACATGCTGCGTGCATGCGAAGAGGCTTTCATCTGCGTGTCAGCAGGAACAGAGATGTTTACGGTCATCTCTTCTGAATCAGCTGTATTCAGAAACTCGTAGGGTCGGGACTTCAAGTCTGCTTCCCTCAGCACCAGACGCGCGACATGCCGGCTCTTGTGCTCATTGAACTAGCACATGTGTCAGACGATCTGGCCGAAATTTACGCAGGCGATGCTTTCAGTTCGGCGACGGGCGACAAGACTGTGGAGCTGCGTCCCAGCTCAGACCGAGCATCGGACTAATTCACAATGCAATTCCCTGGTGCCGAAAGACTAAACTCCATTCTGTTATGTCTTGGAGGTGAAGGGCTCGAGCCAACTAAACTGAAGGGGTCGAGCCAACTAATTTTCCATTCGAAGGCCATCCAACTACGTGTGAATGCAATGCGGTACATTTTCCAAAGCGACCGGAGGCGAGTCTCAGTTTGGCCTGAGGGCTTGTGGCTTCCCAGGCTGTCGGTTTGGATCCACTGTTGCAGGTGGGAGTCCACAGACTTACTGGTCAAGCCTTCGCTGAAAGCCTCACATGAAACGCAGCAAGAGTGCAGTCCTGCTGCGACGCCGATTTCTGCTGCTGCTACTGCCGACGCTGCGAGAAGTGGTGGTAGGGGGGGGGGGGGCCGCTCGTGCGCACCATGCAAAGCTTATCGTCTGCTGCCTGCTTGTGGTATCTTTCACTTGATTTGAGGCCCTACACACCAGAATGGGCGTGCCTGCTTCAGCTTAGTTCTGGCTACTGCCTGCGCTGCCCCGGTGGCCCCTAGAATAAATCGTTCATGCTACCACCCGTTTCAGTCCTGGCTAGTGATGGCCTAGATACAGGGAGGAGTCAACTTCCACCATCTTGAAGGGGCATGACAAGTGTCCGCCCATCCTAAAGGAAGAGATATCATTTCATTTGGCCTAGGGTGGGTTGCAACACAGCAACACGCATCAGCACCACGATAAGATACCGCAAGCAATGCAACCCAGTGTCTGCATCTGCTTTATGAGTGCTTTCATCTCATCAGACTGCTCGGCCTGCACCATCGGCACCGAAGACTCCAAGCCGTATGCGTCATCCGTTCGCATTCGTCCGGCAATTGCTTCTACCAAGTTCGCCTCCTGAATGTAATTCCTTAGTAGACAGACTCATGCATCTGTGCTGGTGCAACTCTGCCGGCCGACCCTTGCCTGCTAGTGTCGCTGTCTTATGCTCACGGTTGACTGCAGCCGTGCCCGAAGTCTTGCACCCACAGGAAGAGTCTGTTCTCTGCATCCTGCGGCACGAGGCCGCCACCCGAAACCCAGACCATTAGACCATGGCTCCCCAGTCGGCGTGCAATGTGCAGCTGATCTTGCAGCTGGATAACTGCTTCGACCTGGGACAAGCACAAGCACAAACAACTCAGCGCTAGATGGGAGCCGGATCTGAGAAGAAAGCTCCTTTGGCTCTTGTATCCTCATGCTTGAGCAAAGAAAGCACCTTGCCGTCTTCGAGCAATCGCGCGCAGGGCCGCAGGGGCTGTAGTGCAAACGTTGCAGTCTCGGAGGCTGGCATGGCGCGTCAGCTTCGCAAGGTCGGATTTGTCCTCATTTTGAAACCTGCGAAATGCGCTATAAGCAAGGCGACTAGTAAGGGGATCCTTGCATTGTAGATTCTGTAAGGCCGCGACGTCTCGGCCAACTTGTCCAAAGCTTGCTGGACCGTGTCTGCAGATGCCATCGAAGGAACAAGAGTTCCTTTCAGAACCTAACATGAATAAATAGCTGATGGATGGACCAAGACCGCGGCACATATCCTTCGAATCATAACAGTCAGCGCAGTATAGCAGTCGCCAGTTTAACGCGGGTAAGGCAGGTTTGATCCATCCCCCAATTCAGCCCTCCACCCCCTCCACGACAGACAGACCCCATCCGCTGACTGCTGTGCGAAGCGCAGGAAAAGGGTTTCCTTGCCACGTCTGCGGGGTCGGCGGCTTGAGCTGGAGGCTCTTTAGTTTCTCATTTGTTCGATGTACTCCCCACCTTGCTTTTTCACCTATGCCAACACGTAGCTCGACTTCTCGACTCGCATGGCTGTGTTCGATTGTTTGCAAAATGTAAGGCTTGGAAAACTTGGCTTGCTGCATGATTGCGGGTTTTCTGACGGAACTTCGCAAACATACGGAGACAGCCGTGAAACTTCAAGCACCGGTTCTTCTGCAGAGCTGGTGGCTCAGCTCCTTCGGCTTCGCCGACTCAGCGCGCCTCTGCTGGGAGGTGGAATCACAGGAAAGTTGTCAACCACGGGCTCCTGACACAAAAGTGCAAGGCAGGCAGCCTTACTTTGATGATGATGTGACCCGCTGTGCAGGAGCTGTGGCATATCCTGCTTGATGGCCAGCTTTGGCAGCGGTGGAGCTTCATGTCTTCGAGCTCGTGCCATGGCATACCACTCCTGACGGAAGGCTTGCGCTTGGAATTCTAGCAACGTCATCTGTCATCGCTAGAACGACTACATTGAACTCGTCTCCTGCTCCTCGTTGCTAGCATTGGTTGGAGGCCTTAGCACTGACAGATATACTGCTTCACCGTGCCCCAGACATTTCATCGATCAGGCAATTGCGACATGTTCGAATCCACAGACCGAAACCGGTGTCATTTGCGGCGACTTACTTGCGGATCTCTCGACCCGTATCGGCGATGCCCAGTCGACAATGCGAGTAAAACAAATCCGGCAAGAGTTGCGCAGCACATGTAGGGCTCTGTCAGGCCAGCAGCGAAAATTACGCAGCAACCAGCGTTTCGTGTGAGAGCGCATCACTTGACAGCCTCGGGGGTTAGATGGCGGAGTTGGTGATACGAAGCCGTCGGCATGCTCAGCACGGGGGAGCATGTCGTGGCATGGCCAAGGAAAACAGGCTGCGCTAAAGTGGTGCCAAAGTTCCAGAAACGGCTTCTAGCATCAGACAAGTAGGACTTGCAGAAACTGAGGAAGGCACCAGCTTGGAAAACAAGTGGCATTCATCTGGTAGCCTCCAAACGCCACAAGGCCACACACAGAGTGAACAAACTTTACACCAAGCACAAGGACCTACCAGCTCGAAGCCCAAAGCTTCTGTTGTTCTCACGAACGGCTTGCCACGGGCACCTGGCCCATTTTTCCGGACAACGTGCCAGTGAGACGATGCTGAAGCGTGTCGGGGAAACCTTGAGGAATACTGGGCAAAACCTTCTGGCCTTTGTTAGGCCTTGGAAGAACTTGCAGGCAACATCTTCATTGTCAGATCCTGTGCCACATCTAAGCACCCCACCGCAGCAGCGGACAGCCTGTACCTTTGAGCTCGCTACGTGTCTTGATTTCACTTTGTGCTGGCATGCGCCGGCAAGCGGCTGGCACAAGTGTGCTCGTGCTTCACACCGAACAAGAGTCGATCTTGACAGAACCCTCCTACAACGCCCTCACACCAAGCTGCTTCTGCCAATGCTGGCTGCATACACATCGAGAAACTCATTCTGCCTGGCAAATGGCCGTAGATGCAGTGCAGAAACAGGCTTGCGGGAGAAAAACATACCAAGACGGTACGCCACCGAATTTTAGTCTTCTGCCTGCTGGCGAGCATTGCACTCGTCAAAAGGGCCGAGCCCCAAGTACAACCTCGCAGCCCAGCACCGCTGTGCAGGTCGGATGAGGTCTTTCAAAGGACCAGAACAAGCTGAGGAGGTGGTTTTCACACAATCTCAACTCAAGCACTTCAGGCTCCGTCCAATGATTGCAATAGACTCATCAATCTCGGCAGAAGTGATGCACAAGGGGGGAGCGAGGCGAATAATGGTCCCATGAGTTGGTTTGGCAAGCAGGCCGTTCTTCGCCATTTCTTCGCAAAGCTGCCATGCCATTCCCTCGTCCCCGTAGTTGCCTTTGTCCGAGCCACCGATCACAATTGCATTCAACAAGCCTCGACCACGGACGAGTTTGATGGGCGACCCTTCATCCTCCGAAAGCTTGCGCAAACCGGCGCGTAGCTGCTCACCACGTGCAGCCGCATTCTCGATCAAGGCCTCATCCTTGAGAACTGTCAATGCTGCTGTGGCTACTCTGCAAGCCAATGGATTGCCACCGTAGGTACTGCCATGTTCTCCCGGGCGGACTGTCAGCATAACCTCGTGTGACGTGAGAACTGCAGAAGCCGGAAGAACTCCACCAGAGAGCGCCTTGCCAAGGACCAGGATGTCGGGACGGATGCCGTCATGATCACAGGCCAGAAGGGTTCCACAGCGTCCAAGCCCTGTCTGCACTTCATCCGTGATGAGGAGCACATTGTGCTTGTCACAAAGCTCACGTACTCGTCGAAGGTATCCATCAGACGGCACAACAACCCCCGCTTCACCCTGGATTGGCTCAACCATAAATGCACAAACCTCGTCTCCATGAGCTTGCAGTTCGGCCTCCAACGCCCCTGGGTCGTCATATGCCACATTTGTGAAACCTGGAACGAAAGGTCCGAAGCCTCCGGTCGAACTTGGGTCATCTGACGTACTGATCGCGGCAATCGTCCGACCCCAAAAGTTGCCGTTTGCAAAAACTACTCGAGCTTTTCCTGAGGCAATCTTCTTCACATCGTAGCCCCATCGGCGAGCGAGCTTGATGGCAGTCTCGCCGGCCTCCACGCCTGTGTTCATTGGCAGCAAGCGATCAAAACCGAAGAACTCCGTTGCAAACTTGCAGTACTCACCCAACGCATCATTGTGAAATGCTCGTGATGTTAAGGTCAGCTTCTGCGCCTGTTCTTGTAAAGCTCCAATAATTTTGGGATGGCAGTGGCCCTGGTTTACTGCCGAATATGCAGACAGAAAGTCGAAGTACTCTTTCCCATCTACATCCCAAAGCTTTGTACCACGTCCCCGGGACAGGACAACTGGAAGCGGATGATAGTTGTGCGCTCCATACTTCTCCTCTGTCTGAATAATGGCCTCTTGGACCGGAGAGAGCGTCATAAGTCTCCTGCTCGCGGCAGTACGAGCTGCAACGAGGCAACGGTTCCACATCTTCTACACTGCTTGAGCCTGGCAGCATCTGGCAGCGTGCACACAACGAGCACACCGGCCCACACGAGGCACTGCACCAGCTCCCTCCACGTGAGCGGCCGATTTCGACTTTGGCCCGGCCTGTTTCCTGTGGATGGACCTGGTAACTGCAGCGCTGTTTCGAGCGCCTCGTGCCGTGTCAGTCCTTGAGGCCACGACGAGACAGGTGAGGCCGGCATCGTGCAAGAGACTGCGTCAATGGATGGGCTGGCCTGCCGCATATCATATCTAGAACTGGAGCATCCCGAGAATTTGTGTGTGAACGGCGAAACAGAAGGGTTGCATGTCTGAGGACGCAACCCCAGACTTCGGTGGACAACCTGCGATGCAAGGCGAAGTGTTTGCAAGCTCACTTTCCGGTCAAGGCATAGGCATCAAACATTCTAGCGATTGAGCCACAAACCGCCCATGTTTAGTTCCGGCCTCACGGGCTTGGGTGTGAGCAAAAATCGCTTTGCCCCATTCCTGCCGCTCACACACTGAGTGATGAAGCAGACCGGTCTGGCACGAGTGTGCAAACATAGTTCCGGTGCTTTAAACCTAATCATCCTTTACCTGCTTCTCTGGGCCGGTCGTCCAAACCAGTTCCCACCGCTTGGGAAACGTGCCGCCAAATCATCCAAGGTTAACTAATGTACTTGGTGATATACCCACCAGCCCCTTAAGTGCATTATTCGTTGCTGTTCGTTGCTCCGGGATTCCATGAGCGAAGACCCCGAAGTACATTATCTCAGCTGGAATGTCCCACAGACAACGAATGTAATGGAACAGGGAGAAATGTACTTCGAACATCGATGAGACACCCCCCTGAGACACCCCCCCCCTCCAAGTACATTAGGTTAGGGAGGGGGGGTCCCGACAGCCCCGATCTGATGCCGATGTTCATCACTTTCTTGTGGCAATTCCCTGGGCAACCGACAACCGACGACACACAGGTGACAATTGAAATCATGTCGTCTAAACTTGCAAAGACAACAGATTGCTTCTGTGATTTCGCATAGTCGGCAACTCGTTCCATTGGCCGCTGGTCCTTCAGAGCCTCGTGAGCTTCTGCAACCTGCCACAGCGGGCCAGAGACTCTTTCGAATATGGATGGACAAAGTATGCGAGATTCAAAACGCAAGTTCGGCTAGCTTAACAGGCCTTGTGAAAAGACACGGCCAACATGGCAAAGTCATTTTCAGCCGGACCTGCCACCATCGGTACAAGCTCGTATCATCTACAAGTGGGTCTTCGGGGCCTGCGGGCACATCGCCACTGGCCTCCCGGTTCCTCCAAGTCACTATCTTCTAGAATAACTCCTGGCTGACATTACCCACCAGCTGTATACATTCAGGGATGAAAAGCATCACCTCGACAAGGTTAGCAATCGAGGCCCCTGCGCAGTCAAGACTTGGCCACTCATGTTTGCCTGATGCTGGACACGGCCAACGCATCACAAACCGGGGTAACATAGGACGCCACCGCTGTCGCGGCATGCTGGAGGGCAGCATCTGCTGCCTGCTGCTACGACAAGTACTGAAGTCTTCGATCTTTCATGCTGACATCTGTCCGACGAAGGTGCGACCATTGGAAACGCTTGCACCTCGCATTCCATATGGCAAGATGCGAGGTTGAGATGCGCAGCTACCTCAGAACAACACTCGATGTTCTCCC